AAAAAAAAAAAAAAAAAAAAAAAAAAAACTCATTCAAAGTTTGAATAAATTAAAAGGCTATAAAAATAGAAATTCACATAAATCAATCTTCAAACAAATTAATAATAATAAATAAACATAATTTAAAATTATAAATCAACCTTCGTATGCATCTATAATGTTTAATTTATAAACTTCGATTTAATAATTTTGATATAAATTACGATAATTATTGACCAGCACTAATATAAACAATTAATTAATTAATGATGAATTTGGATGTTATATATGAATTTACAACTAAATTTAAAAACATAGTGGGGCCGGTGGACCCCACAAAGTAAATTTTTTTAAGAATATTATGAAAAGTGAGACTTTGCGTTGTGATTTGTCTTTTCCAATTTCTGCATTAAATTAAGTCTAACATTTTCTGACACAATATTTTTTTAATATTTTTCTATTTTTATTAAAAAAAAAAAGTCAAGCCGGCCAACCTTTTATTAAATTTGTTTTTCATAATTCATTTTTTTTATTCACTATTCTAATTTAAATTTTTTCCTACTTCAAAAATAATATTAAAAATAATGTCTACTCATTCTTAAACTTATTATAATATTAGGTCTATTAATATTAAGTTAATGAATTAAAAATAATGTTAAATATATCGGAAATTTATTAAATAAATAATTGATAGTTCGAAAAGTTATTAGATACTTTTTAGCAGGGTGTATATTGAACTTAAAAAATCAAAAAACTCGACCTACCTGACTCGAATCATAAATATTAGGTTGAGTTGTAAAACATTTTCGGGTTACTCGGGTCACCAACCTAACCCAATCCATATACTCTTACGTGAAAAAATTTGATATTAAGTGGGTAGAAGGAGAATTCAAGATGATTATGAGTTGTGCCCTACAAAAAGAGCATTGACAAGTTTTATAGGTGGCTTATTTTCTCGTCGAAATCGCAATCGATTACTTCATTTTTGCCTCCTTACTCATCAATTTTCAACTCGAGCGATAATTATGTTCAGATTCACAAGTTTAATTCTTTTAAAAATAATAAATTGAGTGCGTTAAATTATTAAGTAATTAAATCATGTTTATTATAATTTTAAAAATATTTTTTGAAAATTTCAAATTAACCATCAATTTAGAATAATGTTTTTGTCGGATGATGAAAGTCCCGGCTAATTTAGGGAATGATCATGGGTTTATAAGTGAGGAATACTAACTTCATTGGTATGAGGTCTTTTGGGAATTTTGGGAAACTCAAAGGAAAGCCATGAGAGCTTATGCTCAAAGTGGACAATATCATACCATTGTGGAGAGTCGTGTTCGTCTAATATGGTATCAGAGTCATGCCTTAAACTTAGCCGTGCCAATAGATTGGCAAATCCTTGAATGTCGAACAAAGGACTCCAAAAAAAAAAAAAGGGAGTCAAGCCTCCTCAAAGGTACGAAGGCAGTCAAAAATGACTAAGACTCCAAAGGAGTCGAGCCTCGATTAAGGAGAGGCGTGCTTTGTTCGAGGGGAGGTGTTGGATGATGAAAGTCTCACATCGGCTAATTTAAGGAATGATTATGGGTTTAGAAGGGGTTTATAAGTGAGAAATACTAACTTCATTGGTATGAGGCCTTTTGGGAAGCCCAAAGCAAAGCCATGAGAGCTCAAAGTGGACAATATCATACCATTGTGGAGAGTCGTGTTCGTCTAACAGTTTTAAACTACTTTATTACTAAATAAGTTTTTTTAACCAATTTTTGTTTTTATTGTAATATTCCATCCCCAACACTATTTCCCTTCAACCATTTGAGTGAGCGAAATGCTGCAGAAAGAAGGAAAATTCATGGACTGACTTCATCGTCTCCATCTCATAGGAACTACGAGATCATCCCAAGGACGTCTTCAGCATCCAAGGGTTGCAAATTGACCATAGAACCCTGTTCAATCTATCTGGTTGGGCAGTAAAGGTCGGAAAAGGGGTAATGAAAAATGTAATATTCCTATAAAAAAATAATATTTTTTTGCCTTGCTTTTATTAGAGTCACTTTTTATTTATTTATTTATGTGATTTTGAGTAATTAAATATTATGTCTAATATTGTAGGGATTTAATTCAAGTGTATGTGAACCTTTGATGGTGGTTTTAGATTATATGAATCAAATCATATAGATATTTATTTAAAGCTAACAAATCTATCATTTAACGATGTAGATTGTGTTATCATTTTAGGGTCCGTTCTACCTTTTTCACATTCATAACCATCCTTATTTTGAATCAAATTGTTGTTAAGGACAAATATTACGAGCTATCATCAAATCTTAGATATCGATCTACCACTAACGTTAGAAAAAATTGAGGGTTTAACTAAATTTATTGTAGTGCTAACTAAAGCAATTTCGACAATCAAATTAGATATCACACCACGAAAGCAAATAAATAATTTGAAAGTGATATGATCTTATATAGTTATATTAGTGGAGTTTAAAGATAGATTTACTATCAGTTGATATGATAAGACCTCTCGACCATATCATAGGCTATGAGACAAGAAATATTGTTTCGTGATGTGTGCATAATCTTATAGTAAGACTAATGATTAGGGGTGTTTATACGACGTGATGATCTAAATAACTTAGAATATCTAATCTAAACTATAAAGTATGGGTTGGATTAATTTTATTTTTTTTTTTTGTTGAATTTTTATAAAATTGAAAATTCAATTTGGTTCTCACGTTCGAAATTTTTTTTATCATATCTCGACCAACATGCAAAGGATATGGAATCTTGATTTGACACCTTATGAGTTTGATATTCTCTTGCGACATAGTTACATTACTTACACATAACTTTTAAGAGTGAAGACTATTTACACAGACCAACGCAAAGTCTTTCCAGCATGCTTTGTCCTCATTCACATGTTAGGAGATCACCCAATATAAAATTGTTCTAAGCAAAACATGCCTAACTGTGGACTTCCCACTGAAAAAGAAGATGCATCTTATAGGTAGTAACTTTCATTTCTGTAAAGTCTTTCTTAATTCTATTATCATCACGATCACTTTTATTTTGATGTGGTTTTCGTTCATTTATGTACCCTTCATTTACTCGGGTGTCACAGACCCAACCCAACTCAACCAAAACTTAGTTGAGTTAAGTTGTGAACAATATTTAAGTTTTGTGAACCACGTTGGATGCAAACTTTGATGGTTAAGAGAATGATTTTGATATACAAATAGGACGGATATGATTGGACAATACTAAATTTTGGGAATCTAATGGGGATTTAACTTATTAATGCAAACATTTATTTTTGGAATAATAACGTATTCATATTCAATAGAGAGGGGAAACAATTTATTTATTTATTTATTATAATTTTAACAAATTTATATTGAAATTAAATATTAATTTCATTTAGTTGATGATTAATTCATAACTTAGGTTATACAATACCATTGTTATAATTATAATTAAATATAAAGTGAGGAAGGAAGGGTTAGGTTAAAAATGATGTCAAACGCCTTAGCTTTGCTTCTAAGGATTTTGCCCTCAAAATCTCCCAACTTTGACCATTTTGCCTTTTCAATTTTTAATTAACTTAGAATTTAAGAATATATTTTATTTTTGTCCAAATATTAAATTGACGCGTGAAAGACACGGCGTTGAAATGTTTGAAGCGGCCCAACGCCATTGGGCAGACACTAAGACAACCAAGTCCTTACGGTCAGGTCAGGTCAGGGGCTCTTAAGTCAAACCCTACCTTTTTTTTTTTTTTTTTTTAATTTTATTTTATATATTTCCAAATGAAAAATAAAAAATAAATAATAAAAATAAAAACAAAGCAATGGCATCCTCTTGTTGGGCATTTTCTCACCGGCCAATCACACCACAAACCCTCCCTTTTTCTTTTTATTACTTTTTTAATATTATATTCTCTTTAATATTTTTTATTCTAAATAAATAGTCTCGTAAAAAAGATATTTCTCGTCGTCTAAATTATTTTAGTTCAATTGTTAAGTCATTTGCAGGCTTCGTCCCATGTTTATTTATGGTACTAAAATTTACATTAATATTCACTAAATTATTCGAGTCCTTTATTAAAATTTTATATAGTAAATTATCTATTTATTTGTTTTTTTAAATATTTAATAAATATTAGTAGATAATATTATTAGTATTTTGCCATTAAATATATTATTCAATTTAAATATGAAGAAAAGGAAGAAAAGTTGAGAGAATAATAAAGTGAAGACTTAGAAAAAGAGAAGAAAATTATAAAAGTGGGAAAAGAAGAGGAAGAAAGTGGCAGAAGACAACAAAAACATTTCATACTCAACCAGGAGCCACACCATTTTCTTCCCTCTCTTCCATCAAAACCCTTTCTCTCTCTAGAACCAGACGAAGAACAGGAAGAAGCTTCAGAAACCCCTTCAATGGAGATCGCTTCATCTTCAACCTCCACAACAAGATCATCCCATGAAACAGACAAAAACCCTTCTCCCAATACTTCCCCTAACCTCCTCCCTAGATCTGATTCCACCCCTTACCCCACCACTTTCGTTCAAGCCGATACCTCCAATTTCAAACACGTCGTTCAAATGCTCACCGGCTCGTCGGAATCCCCCAGGCCGCCGCACCCACCGCCCTCCTCCAAGCAGCTCTCTTCCATTCCTTCTCAAGACCCCTTTCAATCTTCCAAGAACTTCGCTATTCCTCCGATTAAAACTGCCCCCAAGAAACAGCAGAGTTTCAAGCTGTATGAGCGGCGGAATCACCTCAAGAATAGTCTGATGATCAATACCCTAATCCCTAATTTCCCCGGTGCTGCTGGGTTTTCGCCTCGTAACACTGAGATTCTCTCTCCGAGTATTCTCGATTTTCCTTCTCTGGCGCTCAGCCCTGTTACGCCGTTGAATGATGACCCGTTGTTTGACAAGTCGTCGTCGTCACCGTCGCTTGGAAGCTCGTCGGAGGAAGAGAAGGCGATTGCCGAGAAGGGGTTTTACTTGCATCCGTCGCCGATGAACACACCGAGAGTGGCGGAACGGCCGCAACTTCTGTCTCTGTTCCCGGAAACGTCGCCTAGAGTGTCGGAATCGTCGTCTTCTTCGTGACGAAAACAAGGGTTTGCTCTGTTTTACTCTGTTTTGTTTGTAGAGATTCGTAACTTTTGATTGATTCTTAGAAAAGAAGAAGAGAATCATTGATCAATCGAGTGGGGATTTGGGGTTTGATGAATTGATTCTCTGAGATTAACGCAGTGATTAAGAGAAATCCATTGGTAATGAATGTTAAAAGGCCTCTATGAACTCTTTGAACTGAACTTCAATTTTGGTTTTGGTTTGAATTGTGGTGTTCTTTCTTGTGAACCATTTTCCTTTCCATTTTCCTTTCCATTTTCCGGGAAAGTTGGTGAGAAAATGATTGTTTTTTTGTGAATTGGGTGAGAAAGAAAGCAAAGATATAATAATTTAAGTGAAGACTTCGCATTAAACGAAGGGTGGAGATCCACAAGGAAGAAGGTTGGAAGTTCCACTTAGTGTATTGATGGATGCAATTGGGGCTGTAAATACCGTTGCTTTCTTACTCTCTTTTGTCTTTTTCTGTCTTCAAACATAAAAGTTGTCTTTTTTTTTTTTTTTTTTTCAATTAATTTCTTCAACCCCTTCTAATTTTAATATTATAGAACGTTTAATTAAGATTTGTAACTCAATTTTAATATTATATATCTTTGGACCAAACAAACAAATTATTTTATTCGCGACCTAAAATTCATGATCTACCTTTAATTGGTTAAAAAATCTAAAGTTTCTTGAACCCAATTTTAAAGAATCCAAACTAAGGGGATAAATCTATGTCTCAAGACAGAAGATGATTTGAAACCGACAAAAAGAAAGTACTAAGCTATTTCATCGTTGAAGTAATTGAAAAGGCACCTTTCTAATTGCCAATCATAAGAACCAAATCTGTAATTCTCATTGGGGAAAGCTCAATTCAAGCTTTAAGGGGGTTGTCGATCTAGTCGAACGAACATAAAAATGAACGTTATTTTTATTTTTTTTACTGTCGTGTCGTCATCTTCGCATATCAATTATACAAGAATAACAAGGTGGAAGAGTAATGATGAACTAATCAATTATCAATAATTAGGATTAGCTTGGTTGGTTAAGCTTCCTTTTATAGAACTCTTTCATTTGAGAAAACTATAGTATAGAGTTCAACACATCAGGCATCACTTCTAAGCTCAAACTTGCTTTCTTTTAAGGTAATTGTACAATTCATATACCAAACTAGAGATTTCGTTGCATATATAACTTGTTTTCTTTGATTTCGTGTAAGATAATTCAACCTTCATTTGTATGAACGAGACATAATGAAGAAAATAGAAGGTAGAACTCAATTTTCCTATCGATTTGGTATCGAAACTAATCGCAAACAAGGTGTGACAGGAAAGCACAAGGGTGATGTGTGTCACTATACATAGTCATCCAAGATGATATCAATGCTATCAGTTGACAGATATCATAGCAGTCAATAGGAATTTGCATTTGATACTCAAAGATGATGAGTTTTATTTATATGTGAATAATAAGCTTCTATTCTCGAGAATTATTGGACATTCTAATAGGGAAAAAGGGACACACATACCACATCTTCAGATTTGTGAAAAAGATTGAATGGTCTTGAACTCATGATGGTCTGGAAGAGGAGCATTCCCAGGTCGGATGGATATGTTCACATCAAATCCTGAAAAATGGGATTTCAATCAGATAACAAACCATGAACAGTAAACACTGTGCAGAAAACAATCCTAATTTGATTTTTGATGTAGTTAGTAGACAACAAAGACACAAATAATCTCCATGGATGAAGCCTTGAGGTGGGGATTCTTCGTCTTTGCTCACTTCCTTTCGTTAGTAGTAGATTGACTAAGATTGGATTAACACACTCACTGATGCCTTTGATGTTCGCATGTGCAACAGTCCAAGGCTACCGCTAACAGATATTGTCCGGTTTGGCCCGTATGTATCACTGTCAACCTCACAGTTTTATAAAACGCATTTTTTAGGGAGAGGTTTCCACATCTTTATAAGAAATGTTTCGTTCCCCTCTCCAACCGAGGTGAGATTTCACAATCCACCCTCCCGACAGCCCAACATCATCACTGGCACACCACTCGAAACCTAGCTTTGATACCATTTGTAACCACCTAAGCCCGCTGCTAACAGATATTGTACACTTTGGCCCGTTACCTATCGTCGTCAACCTCACAATTTTTTAAAACTAGGGAGACATTCTTATAAGAAATGTTTCGTTTCGAGAGTGAGATCTCACAATCCACCCCCTAAGAGTACAGCATAAATGAAAAAGGGTCGAGAAGATGCAAAATACCTGCTGCTTTTGCAGCTACAGCTTCCTGAAAAACATCAGTGACAAACAAGATTTCTGATGGCTTATCGACGCCAACAGACTCTCTGATCTCGACATAACTGCGCGTTTCTCTTTTGTTTCTGAGAGTATAGAATGAGTAGCTTGTATAAATAGTGTCTATTCTACTGAAGGGAAATTATCAAGAGTAAATTAGATCTTACCCCACTGCGGTATCAAAATATCCACACAAATATTTTCTCAGATCCCCATATTTTGTATTTCCAAATAGAAGCCTCTGTGCCAATCTACTGCCGCTCGAGTATATGTATACCTACAAAAATTAATCATTACTTCACTATTAGAAACGAATCGTCCCTGGCTAACAATCATGTCGGAAACAAACAGAAGAACTTGAACTCTAAACATCGCTCGAGTTAAGAGAGACAACTTTGAAAGCATTTTTGCTGCTTTCGTTATTTCTGCATGTTACAAAATGTTCATGCAACGGCCCAAGCCCACCGCTAGCAGATATTGTCCTCTTTGGGCTTTCCCCTTCAAGCATCCCCTCAAGGTTTTTAAAACACGTTTGCTAGGAAGAGCTTTTCACACCCTTATAAAGAATGCTTTGTTCCTCTCTCCAACCGATGTGGGATCTACAATCCACCCCCTTTCGGGGCCAGCGTCCTTACTGACACACTGGTGTCTGGCTCTGATACCATTTGTAACGGCCCAAGCCCACCGCTAGCAGATATTGTCCTCTTTGGGCTTTTCCCCTTTAGGCTTCCTCTCAAGGTTTTTAAAACGCGTTTTCTAGGGAGAGGTTTCCACACCGTTATAGAATGTTTTGTTCCCCTCTCTAACCGATGTGGGATCTCACAATCCACCCCCCTTTGGGGCCCAACGTCCTCGTTGGTACAACATCCGGTGTTTGGGTTTGATAACATTCGTAACGACCAAACCCATTACTAGCAGATATTGTCCTTTTTGGGCTTTCCTCTTCGGGTATCCCCTCAAGGTTTTTAAAACACGTCTGCTGGGGAGAGGTTTCCACACCCTTATAAAGAATATTTCGTTCCACTCTCCAACCAATGTGGTGGGATCTAACGTAAATATGCAAATTAACAAAGAGAACTATGGTCTTTTAAAGTATCTGGTTGATCATCAATAAAATTGAAGACTGAAAGTTAACCAGCGAGTAAAACTGACGTTAAGGACTCATAGTAGTTTCCATCTAGGCATTAGTGACCATAGCATCAAGATAGATTTAAAGGATATAGCTATGTTGAATTCATTTTGTTTGGACACAGAAAAGTAATTTTCAAAATTTTCATGGTGTTTGGTCACATGTGTAAAAAAGTACTACAAAAAGTTCTGAAATCAAAGAACTTTAACGTGTTTTTAAAACGCGTTGCTGCAGCTATTTGGACAGAAAAAAAACCATTAAAAGAAGGCATGATGGACCAGAGTGGTTATATGTGGAAGAGGGAAAAGTATTTTATATACAACCTTTATGCCCGACGCGTGCCACCTTTCCAGAGCTCGTGGTACATCGTCAAAAACGTCTCCTTTCAATTCATTGTTCTCGAATCCAGTTAACCATATATGACCCTGACAAAACTGGGGGTTAGTTCTTGTAACACAACAGTTTGTTGTTTTCTTCATAAAATATTTCTACTTACTTGCAACTGCTTTAGAGCAGGAATCTTCCTGTCAGCTTTTATCATGGCTTCAACGTTCGCAACTAGAGCTGCAATAACGTCCTCTTTTGCAGAATCATCGAGCGGAATAGGCACGGCACCAGCAACACCTTTTTCCAGATCATCTTGCACCTGCAATTGTATTTTCAAGTTACTAGCACCAACAAATGTTCTGTGATCGACTTGAACTCCCGAACAGAACTATCTTACCTGAGATCGTAACAACGCAATATCTTCCTTAGTCTCTGCAGTGTCGAATGTTAGAGATAAATGCTTGCGGACATTGTTGCGAGCATATGGAAAGAGAACATCGGTCACAAATGATATTGGAGTAGTAGTTCCTTCTATGTCAAGAACAATGCAACGCTGCAGAATATATATCAAAAAATGAGGTACGTACAGACATGTAGGTCATTAAAGAACAATTTAATTTAACAGACATGTAGGTACGTACAGTCCACACAAACAGAGAGATTGTACTAAAATCAAATTGTTTAAGTGTATAAATTATATCAGAGCTTCAACCTTTGAAGATGCTCCATTGTTGCTACCAGCTACTACGACTTCCTTGACGTTCCGAATGGGACCATGATCTGGAGTAGACCAGTCTAGGCCCAATTGATAAAGCTTGATGGCCGCATCAAAGAGATAGTGGTAACATTCAGCCTGAAACAATGAGTGGACAATTCAGAAAGAGCATTTCAACAGTGTGAATATTGAATAAAACATCTGCCATACTTTATCCATCACTGTTCAGAGTACAGCTAAAGCAAAATATAAACACAAGTGTCTCAACACCAAGCCAAAAAATATAATAAATAAGTAGATACTACTTTTACAAGAAATTATATCCATAGATAAAAGTGAATCTCGTAAAATACAGCGATCCATTGATTTGACCATATATTACTGTGTATAACGAACCTGAGTTTTCGCATGGATCCATGAATCTCCCCATACATAAATGCCATGGTTTCGAACAAGCACAGCAGTTGTTTTTGGGTAGGCTTCGATCTGTAGAAAGCAAAGGAAATGAAAATTTTAGAACAGAATAAACACTTGTCAGAGTATACATGGTCTTTACTGGCAGAAAAAATTCTAGACATTGATCAACAATCAATGGTTGTTCCATTAATCAGTAACAATAAGTTTCCATCATTTTCATTGAATGGTACGGTAATTAGCATACGGAAATAGTGTTCATAATTACTTGAAATGCACGATGATCAGTGTGAGATCCCACATCGGTTGGGGAGGAGAACGAAGCATTTTTTATAAAGGTGTGAAAACTTCTTCCTAACCGACACGTTTTAAAAACCTTGAAGGGAAGCCCGAAAGGGAAAGTCCAAAAAGGACAATATCTGCTAGTAGTGGGCTTTGGCCATTATAAATGGTATCAGAGTCAGGTTCTGGGCAATGTGCCAGCGAAGAGGCCGAGCCCCAAAGGGGGTGGCCACGAGGTGGTGTGCCAACAAGGACACTGGGCCCCAAAGGGGATGGAT